AACAAGCTCTCCTTCTGACGTGCCAGGAGGAGATGCGTTTCGGGAGCCCGCTGTTCGGCCGGCTACAGAGGCAGGCGGGACAGGGAGGTGCAGCTCCAGGAGAGAGAGCAGCACGCACCAAGCGGACGCAGACACAAGGGGCATCTTCCCAAAGGGGTATCAGCGGGATCCTCGGGCGCAAGGTTCCCAGGGGACGTGGGGGGTTGGAGTTCAGTTGCTGGAAACCTGGAATGATGTGGGGGACCTTGTGTCGTGGTGAGGACGTGTCAGGGGTTAGGGGGCCAAGGTGGTGTGGAGTCGGACCTTTGAGAAGGAGAGCTGCTTGCACACGTTCCATTGAGCGCGTGCTCGTTTGCATTGGCACTTCGATGCGGCCTTTCCCGGTTGTTGTTAACCTTCGCAAATGCAACGCTTGACCGTATCGTTTCTACTTCCCAGTGGCATTCTTTTTTTTTTTTTTTTAATCCACACCCAGGGCATTTTTGCATTTATCTTCAGATAGAGCAGGAGGAAGGGGGGGGGGAGAGAGAAACATCGATGTGAGAGAGACACATTGAGTGGCTGCCACCCACCCACACGACCCCAGCCGGGGCCTAGGACAAACTGCAACCGAGGTACATGCCCTTAGCAGGAACCGAACCCGGGACGCTCTCTTCCGCAGGCCACCGCTCTAACCGCTGAGCCAAACCGGCCAGGGCCCCAGTGGCATTCTGGAGCAGCTCCCTCGGACAGTGATGTTGGATTAGTGTGCGAGGGGGAGGGTCGTGAGATCTCACATCTTTTCACAAACAGCCTCCTCTGGTCTCCGGCAGTAACTCAAGTGCCAATAGGCTACTCACTAATTATGTTTCTGTCCAATGAGATATAAAGTAACAAAAGAAAGGAACATTGTGATAATATCTCAACCCCGGTTACCTGCTGAATAATGAGTTTGAACTTCGTGCCTTCTCAGGAATTTTAATAATGCATTCCCAACAACCTGTGATTGTGCGATGGTTTTGTTGTTTTTCTTCCTTTTTGGTTTAACTCCAAATCGCTCCAGTCGTCCGTTCCAGTGCATGTCTCCCTTCCAGGGCAGTCAGAGGCTCCGTTGTCATGGGAATAACGGGGAGCCACCTAAAGCCAGGAAGCTCGTACTCGTGTGGAGAAGCCGTGACATGTTAGACTTTCCACTGTCTGCTCCTCACGCACACGCTAGCCCTTCTGTTATCAGCGTGTTGTCACATCAGTAACACGCGACCCACATAAGTTTTGTTGTAATTTGTTTCACATGTTTAACACTTTGCTTTGTTGGGTCAGCTTGTTACATTTTAAAAAAGCATTGTATATGCTTCTCAAACCGCAGAACCCTGGTCTAATTATAAGAAAAACATCAGCCCTGGCCGGTTTGGCTCAGCGGTGAGAGCATCGGCCTGCAGTCCAGGGAGACCCGGGTTTGGTTCCCGCTAAGGGCACGTACCTCGGTTGCAGTTTGTCCCCGGCCCTGGTTGGTCGTGCGGGTGGCAGCCACTCGATGTGTCCCTTCACGTCGATGTTTCTCTCTCTCTCTCTTCCTCTCTCTCCCTCCCTCTCTATCTGAACAAAAAATGGAAAAATGTCCTCGGGTGAGGATAAAAAAAAAAAAAGGAAAAACATCAGACATCCCAGTCGAGGGGCGTCCCCTGAGATACCTGCCCAGCCCCCTTCAGAACCACCCAGGCCACCTGGACAGGGAGGGTCTGAGGAACCACCCGGGCCGCGAGGAGCCGTTCAGAGGCACGGCCGGACGTAACGTGCTGTTCTGGAGAGAGGAAAACGAAGGAAATCTGAGTAACGAATGGATTTCTGTTAATAATTCGTTCGTTGTTACTGTATCAGTTCATTAGTTGTGAGAAATGTACCATACGATGTAGCGTCAGTGAGGAAGGAAGCCCAGCTGTCCCCGTCGGGGTGCTGGTGGGTGCTCAGGACGGAACCCAGGGAGCCCCACGCGCACACCGCCCCCCCGCCCCCGAGGGGACACACACGCAGAGAACCCCCCCGAGGCCCACTCGCCGCAAGGCCTCGCTGATGTGGAGGCTGCAGGAGTGAGCGGGGAGTCCCAGGAGGATGTGGGGAGAAGTCAAAGTCAGGGCGCACTGGGAAGAATGTGGAATGTCGTCACACTTCCGCCCGGATCTATCCGCGGGGGGACACCCTGCTGGCTTGAGCACGGGCTCTGACCAATTCTGACAGGATTGATTATAATCCAGTGTGAAATAAACATCATGAGTCCACACTGGGACGGACAGACAGACAACGCTCCTGTACAGAGGAATTCTAAGTAACTTCCGTAGCTGCTCTGCCCGCGACAAGGTGGAGCATAACTCTGGACCCTAGTATGGGCCACACGCGTGACTTCCTTTGAAGGACTGCAGTGTGGAAGGAGGGAAAGAGTATGGTGGAGGAGCCTGACAGCTCCTACCTGAGCCAGGTGAGCAGGTGATCAATCAGGTTGACAGCAGGGACCCTTGATGTGGTGGGACGAGGTGGCATTTTACCTACGGTCTTCCGCCCAAGGCTGCGATCGTGAGACACACATCGGACAAGTCCGAGCTGAGAGCCATTCCAGATGGCCTGCCCAGGGAACGGTCAGTGTCAGCGTCACTGGTCCGACAGAAGTGGCCATTGTGAAGAGTGTGACACCTGAATGTGCCCTCCTGTTCGGGATCCTGAGTCAGAAAAGGGACATTAGGGAGATTAAGGAAACCCAGTGAAATGTGACCTTTAATAATAACATGTTGAGCCCTGGCCGGTCTGGCTCAGCGGTTAGAGCGTCGGCCTGCGGACCAGAGAATCCCGGGTTCGGTTCCTGCTAAGGGCATGTGCCTCGGTTGCAGTTTGTCCCCGGCCCTGGTTGGGTCGTGCAGGAGGCAGCCACTCGATGTGTTCCTTTCACGTCGATGTTTCTCTCTTTCTCTCCCTTCTTCTCTCTCCCTCCCACTCCATCTGAACAAAAAATGGAAAAATTTTTATCCTCGGGTGAGGATAAAAATAAATTAAATAAATAATATGTTGAGCCCTGGCCGGTCTGGCTCAGTGGTTAAAGTGTTGGCCCGCAGACCAGAGAGACCTGGGTTCGGTTCCTGCTAAGGGCACGTACCTCAATTGCAGTTTGTCCCCACCCTGTTTGGGGTCGTGTGGGTGGCAGCTAGTTGATGTGTCTCTCTCACATCGATGTTTCTCTCTGTCTCTCTTCCTTCTTCTCTCCCTGAAGGTGAATGCAAAAATGTCCTCGGGTGAGGATAAAAAAATAATAACATGTCAACGTTGGTTCATTAGTTGTGACAAATGTGTCACAGTCACGTCAGACGTTAACTGAAGGGGGAACCTGGTGTGGGGTGTACCAGGAACCCGTTCATCGTCACAGCTGTTCTGTACATCTAAAGTTACTTCAAATACAATGTTTATTTAAATATTTTTTAAATCAATAAAGGAATTAAGATGGCACCCTTAAAAACTATTTGACATTAAACTGAGAGTTTAAAAAAATTAAAAGTTTGAATATTTCTTTTCATAGTATTTTAAGATTTTATTTTAGATAGCCATGTCATGATGTTCTTCTCTAGAATATGTGTTCCTTTTATGAAAAGGCTTGGTTTAATTAATGAACAAAATACCTTGTAAGGATTCCTTCCTGGGAGATGGATTATTATGTTTTCTTATAGTTCGTTTCCCCCTTGATTTCATTCTTTTGCACTTCAAGGGGTATGGATTTGGCCAGCAGCGTGTAGTTTAAATATTAGTTAAGAGTAGGCTTGCCCTGGCTGATGCCGCTCAGTGGTTAGAGTGTCGGCGTGAGAACCAGAGGTTCGAGGGTTCAATTCTCGGTCAATGCCACGTACCTGGGTTGCAGGTTGATCCCTGGCCCCGGTTGGAGTTGTGCGGGAGGCAGCCAATCGATGTCTGTCTCTCTCTCTCTCTCTCTCTCTCTCTCTATCTCTCTCTCTCTTTCTTCCTCTCTCCCTCCCTCCCTCCTACTCTATCTAAAAATTACTGGGAAAAATATCCTCAGGTAAAGATTAGCCCCCCCCAAAAAAAAAATCAGTGAGGGTGAAGGATAATGCCTGGATTTCTGTACCACTGGCCGGGTGGCGGTGCCACCCAGTTGACTAATAGATATGCCGCAAACCCCCACAATGCACTGCTGCTCCTTTTGTCAGCCGTCAACACACAGCTTTCCACGTGGTCACTGTGTTCATTGCGTTTCCCTATAGGCGCACGTGTCCTGTGCTGTTTATGTAAATCGGGGGTGGGGAACATACGGCCACTAAATCAATACCAGCTGACATCACACGCCCCGCCAAGTCAGCCTGGCCAACGATAGCAGGCTAATTTTTAAGTTGGTAAGTTTGTATGGCCCTCAGATGATGTTATAAATGTCCAAAAATGGCCCGGCCGCTGTGGCTCAGTGGTTGCGCGCCGACCCTGCACCCAGAGGTCACCGGTTCGATTCCCAGTCCGGGCACATGCCCAGGTTGTGGGCCTGATCCCCAGTGGGGGGCGTGCAGGAGGCGGCCCGTCGATGTTCTCTCATCGATGTTTCTATCTCTTTAACTTCCAGTTGCTCACGGCTAATATATAGAAATGCAGTACATGCTTTTTGTTTATTAACTCTACCTTCTGTGACCTTGCTAAACTCATGGTTTTTTTTATCTGAAAAGTTTTTTTTAGAGTTTTTGGTATTTTCTATGTAGAAAATTATACAGACTGCAAATAAAGACAGTTTTGCTTTTTCCTTTTCAATCCGCACGCCTCGGTTTTTTCCTGCCTTATTGCACCAGCGAGGACCTCCAGCCCGCATCGTATTCGCCAGCGTGGGTGTCCGCGTCTCTTCCTCACTCTTACGGGGGAAACAGTTCATATTTTCCATTAAGTCCATCGGCAGTAGGTTTTTCATATGTACTCTTCATCCAGTCAGGGAACTTCTTTATTGTCACTGATACCTGCCTGTTTTGTTTTGTTTTTTCTTTCCTCCTTAGCAGAAGACTCAGAAAGCGGTGTCTACATGCGATTCATGAGGTCACACAAGTGTTACGACATCGTTCCAACCAGTTCAAAGCTCGTGGTCTTTGATACTACGTTACAAGTGAGTGCGAGGTTCTCCTGGGTCGCTGGGGTCGTGTGTGGGTGGCGCCTCGTGGGGCCATTTCAGTCCAGAAAACCCCAGCGGACACGAATGGGGTCCTGTCCATGAGTCAGGAGCCGCGCTGAGGGCCGTCTCTGAATTCAGCATCTTCGTGGCGGCCTTATGGGGAACACGCCGGCATTGTCCTCCTTCCACGGATAAGGAGACTCAAGCTCTGGTGTTCGAGAACTTAAATGACAAAGCCGAAACGGCCAATTCCCTCAGAGCGGGTCGTGGGGTGGGGGGGCTGGACCGCAGTCCGTGTGCTGTGTTGGCGCCTGAGCTATCAACGCGGAACGGCGACCTCCCTCCGTGGGCCCTGGTGTTTTTTTTCTTCATATTGAGTAGACCATCTCATAAATTATTTTGAAATAATACTGGTTAAAAAGAAAAAAAGGACCCTGGTGGATAATCTCCCGAGAGAACGGTATTGATCTCTTTTAGCAGAAAATTGGAATCTGACTATTTTGGTATTAAAACTGGGTTTATATCTCCCTGGCCGGTTTGGCTCAGCGGTTAGAGCGTCGGCCTGTGGTCCAGAGAGACCCGGGTTCGATTCCCGCTAGGGGCATGTGCCTCGGTTGCAGTTTGTCCCCGGCCCTGGTTGGTCGTCCAGGTAGCAACTACTCGATGTGTCCCTTTCACAACGATGTTTCTCTCTCTCCCTTCCTCTCTCTCCCTCCCACTCTATCTGGGAAAAACAAAAACAAAAAAACAAAACTGGGCTTATAAGCAGCTCATTCTACACCAGTACGACTCGTACTTATGTACGAAAAGTCCTAATACATTCAGTGTAATAGCAGATGCCATCCACACATACATGTACGCGTTGGTGTCTCTGTTACACATAAGTCTTTGCCAAGCAGGCTTGTCTCCAGGTGTGTTCTCCCATACGTAGCGGCAGAGCTAGGAATCCCTGGGAATCTGCACTTTGTTAGGGTCGTTCCCAGGAGTTAACCCCTAAGGAACTCGGGGCGGGGGCTCAGAAGGGCAGAAGCCCTGCGGGTCGCATCTCAGACGAAGAGCCATGGAGGGTGGTTGCACTGATCACTCAGCAGAAGGTGAAGGGAGGGGAGGGGTGTCAGGTGTCCTTCACCCTGGGAGCTCTGCCCAGTGCCCTGGGACCACTCCCTGCCCCTCCCCCAGCCTGGTCTGTGTCACTCCCAGCAGCTGGCACCAGCCACTGGGGCTCTTGGGTCACTCTGCCTGCATCCTTTCTCAGGAATGTAAAAACAGTCTTGTTCTTGTTCCATTTTATTTTCCAGTTGGTTTTTTTTAGCATATAGAAATACAACGGATTTTTGTAAATTGACCTTATTTATATCTTAAAACTTTGCATGCCTGGCCAGGGTGGCTCAGTGATTGAGCGTCGACCCATGCACCAAGAGGCCAGGGCACATGCCCAGGTTGTGGACCGATCCCCAGTGGGGGGCATGCAGGAGGCGGCCAGTCCATGTCCTCTCTCATCGATGTTTCTATCTCTCCCTCTCCCTTCCTCTCTAAAATCATTAAAGGGAAAGAGAAAAAAAATACTTTGCTTAAGTTCACCTCGGACCAGGTAACCTTCAAAGTCCCTCTAAAATCGGAAGAGTCTCTGATTCTTTGACACAGAGGAGTGGGAACCCTCCAGATACAATGTAACGTAGGAAAGCAACAGTAGTCTTACCAGGTGCAGCCTCTACCGCTGTTACTACAGATCCCAGTCGTAAAAGAACTAGAAGGGCTGAACTCCCAAGAAGAACTGCTGGGTCAACCTGTCTGACCCTAGCCTCACATTGTCAAGAACCCGGCATCCTGGCCACTGGTTTCCCACCGCCAGAAAGGGGACAGCCATCGACCTGTGTCTGCTCTCTCTCCGCGTTTCCCTTGCCAGGAAATTGACTTCCTTCTGAATTTAGAATTGAGCCGGAGTGAGTAATACGTGAAAAATGCGGGGCCAGCCTGTGGCGAGGGGCGGCTGCAGAGTGAGCCCGGCCTTTCCTTGTTGGGCAGTGGTTCACAGGAATGAACTCCCACCCGGGCTGTGGGTGTGGACGGGGACAGGAGGTGACGCAGCTGGCGCCAGCAGCGGGAGGCATTGCTTGGACAGTGTCCTTACTCTCCAGGCCTGTGCCAGCTCCGTGCCTTACACCATGGGCACCTGACCATGGCCAGCTGTGGTGCACGCCCAGCATTTGGCCGGTGGGTCAGGTAACACCCCATTTACGAGGACGCTCAGGCTGCATGGGCACTTGACATCTCCTCGTTAGTAGTTCGGTCCCTACTGGGGCCCATTGGAAAGCCAGGAACCGTTTCTCAGAAGCAAAATAATCTGAAGGAAAAGGCCTGGTTTTTTTGTCTTTGTTTTGGGGTGGTTTTTTTTTTGCCATTCATTTTCCCCCGAAACCCTAGTCAGCTGCCTTCTGAATCTCCTGTCGGTGCGTGGCGGGGCTTTGCACACCCCCTTGGCCGTGACGTTGCTGATCCTAGGCCGTGTGGTCCAGGAGCCTGCTCCCGTGCAGAGAATTCTCTTGCTCTGGTCCCTCCGGGCAGCTTTGCTGCGTCACTCAGTAAACGTGTTGGAGGAGCTGCACGGATTGGCGCACATTGCTTCCAAAAGGCCGACTTGTGTGGCCGGCAGCGTGCGTGCAGAACAGCCGCTCGGACTGTCCGTGGAGGAGTGTCTGGAACCCTGGCCATCGCTCCCCACCGCGAAGCCGCCCCGTCCGGTTAGCAGGCGTCTCGTGCGGCGTCTGAGGTGTCGCTGCTTCCAACCCATCAGATCCCGGAAGCAGTGTCCCCGACAATAGCCAGCATCTCTCAAATGCTGTTTAGACAGAGAGCATGAGGGTGGCAGAGCCCAGGGCACATTGGTGACCTGTGCCGTGCCAGGTCCACGCAGACTGCTCAGGGGGTGGAGAGAGAGAGTGTGTCCTGGCAGCAGTAGCCGGTCCCTGAGACACCGCATCCAGGTGTTAGTTCATCCCCTATGTGATCAAGTGGACAGTCACCCACAGTCACAGTCACTGCGGGTGTAAGGGGTAGGGCTTCCCCACCTTCAGGGCAGAATGTCTGCATGAGAGAGTTGGAATTTTTCTACAAGGGACATCTGTCTCCCCCCTCCACTTATTTATTCAGTCATTTATAGCAGTAGAGATGTCTCCCATTAGGTTACAATCCATTACTACTTTATTTTGTTACTCAAGTTATTTCAGTCGATATGATTGTTAATCATGTCTGTGAAAGGAAAAACAGGCAAGTATCCAAGTAAGCACACGTCTTTAGAAGAACCTGTGAAAAGCGTAGAATGAAGAGCATAGAGTTAAAAGTGAGTTCCGAGAAGGGAGCACCCCTGGGCCTGGGTAAGACCCACAGTGCAGTCGGGTGGGGGGCGGGGCTCACTTGTTTCGAAGCTGGGAAGAGAGAACAGGGCCAGGCCTTTTGCCCCAGATTCTTGCCTCGGGTGCCAACGAGGAGGAAGTGAACCTCTTCAGCTCCTTCTCAAGGAAAATGATCTTCACGGTGGAAAAAGTACAGTAAATGGTGATTAGAGGAAATGAAAGCCCAAGGTAGGTGTAGAGGTCACGGGAGGGCGCCTGTCTGCGTTACACCCGGCTCGGATGAGGCACGTCCTAATGTGATGAGGCTGGGCTGCCCAGCTCTCATGATGTTGGAGGAATTGTGGAGAACGGGCTGGTGCCCAAGGCGGCAGGCGAGGAAGGCGGCATCAGTCCCAGGTATGATGTCGGAATGAATTATTAACAAAAAGTAGGAATAGTCATCTTCAGGAACCTGAGATGAAGTGAGCAAAAATAAGCCCCAGAAGGTGCGCCGTTTGTGCCGTGACAGGCGTGTCTGGGCTGCAGCTAGACAGGTGGCGGAGGCTGCGTGATGTCCTGAGGGATGAGTCGGAGTTTTCAGCTCGGAGTGAATTAACGGCTCATCGGGCCCTGAAGAGGATGTTGATTAAATCTCCGGCCGCCCGGGTAGAGGTTCCTGGTTGTATCGGAAGCCTCTCGTGGGCCAGTTCACGCCACCTGTTCCGACAGCCACCGCAGCCTCAGCCCAGCGCGGGGCACCTCCGGCCTCCTTGACCAGGGGCAGACATGAGCTGGTGGGTCAGCAGTCCTTGCGCCCTCAGGGGGACAGTCCTGAGACGATCCGAGTGGAACGAATGTCAGTCCGCCCGCAGCTGTGGCCAACGTAGTTACCCGGCCACATCCTGGCTCACCTGCCAGCCTGTGTCAGCCCTTCCGTCCTCCGCGCCTGCGCCTGGGATCGCGTCCCCAACAAACTGTGCCGCGGGGCTCTGCCTCCCGGGGACCGAGCTGAGACGCATGTCAGACGCCGCAGGAGTCTTTCAGCGTAAGGTCCTCCCGTGAACGGGTGCCTGGGAACCAGGAGAAATCGCCGATAATACCCAGATAATACCTAGAAAGATTCCTCGGCGAGTTCAGTCGCTCTCAGGACCAGGTAACACGGAGGTGAAGTGGGAGCTGCTCCGTGTTCCAGAGGAGAGTAAAAGGGGGCGCTGAGCACTGCGGGGCTGTGAGGGTGGACACGGGGCCCTGGTGCTCGGCGCCCAGACTGCTGTGAAGATGGCATGACAGAGTCCCGACGGGAGGTCACTACACCTCTGGCCACCAGCGCTACCACAGGGAAAGCTGTTGTGTGTCTTTTTTAATCTCTGTCTTTTATGTGTGACATCCCTGGGAACCGATGATGCTCTTTGCTCAGGCCAATCTCCTTGCGTTGTTTCTTCAGTGTTTTTGTTCCTGCTGTTTTCTGTCTTCGAATCCTCACCCAAAGATACGTTTTTATTGATTTGAGAGAGAGAGAGAGAGAGAGTCATGGACATGAAAGAGAAACATAGATTGGTTGCCTTTCGTATGCACCCCAACCAGGGATCAAACCCACAGCCTAGGTGTGTGCCCTGACTGGGAATCGAACCTTCGGTGTACGGGATGATGCGCCAACCAGCTGAGCCACCTGGTTAGGGTCCTGCTATTTCCTTAACTTCTGCAACATCCGTTAGTAGATCTTGGGCCCCCTGAATTGATCCTTGAATATTATTATCCTGTCTCTCCCTCTTTTTTAAAAAAAAAATTTTTTTTCATTGGTTTGAGAGAGAGAAGAAGGAAGAGGAAGAGATAGAGACATCAGTGAGAGAGAGCATCGATTGGCTGCCTCCTGCATGCCCTCTGCACTGGGGATCGGGCCCACAACCTGGGCATGTGCCCTGACTGGGAATCGAACCGGCAGCCTCTTGGTGCAGAGGTCGATGCTCAACCACTGAGCCACACCGGCTGGGCATGTTTCTCCCTCTTGTTGTCTTTGGTTCTACGTTTTGGAAGGTTCTTTGTTTTCCTGACCCACCAAGTAGGATACGTATAAAACCATAGGACCCACCCTGGCTGGTTTGGCTCAGCGGCTAGAGCCTCAGCCCACGGACCGAAGAGTCATGGGTTTGATTTCTGGTCAAGGGCACGTACCTGGGTTGCAGGTTCAATCCCTGGCCCCAGTCCGGGTTGTGTGGGAGGCAACCAATCGATGTGTCTCTCTCACATCATTGTTTCTCTCTCTCCCACTCCCTCCTTTCCACTCTCTCTTTAAAAAAAAAAAAAAAAAAATCAATGGGAAAATATCCTGGTGAGGATTAACAAAAAAGAAAGGGGAAGGTGGTCAGAAATGTTTTTAGTCTGCCATTTTTAAACCTAAGGAGTCCCAGCTGAAGCTCCGCAGTGACAGAGGGTTTGTTGGGTGCCCCGAGGATAGAAGAGGGTCTCGGCTTTGATTGGAGTGATGTGCGCAGGTTTTGCTGTGGAGTCAGAAGTTGAAGGTGAATTCATTGGCTTTAATAGGTAGAGTGGAAGGTTGGTCCATTTGAACTGGAAGGAGCGTTGAGACGTAGTTCAGAGGCTAAGGAGTCTGCTGGAGCTGTTGGGGTCAGGCCTGCGGCTGGATTGTGGGGGGTCTTAGCTCTCATTGCTAAGAGCCGGGCCCTCTAGGCTGGGGAGAGCCATAAAGATGGGAAGGATGCCGGTATTGCTAAGTCCATGTGACAAGCTCTGATGTAACGGAAGAACCCAAATTGGACAGCTTTACAGAGTTTTAGCTCTTCATCAGCATTAATTTTAAAAGCTCCACAATCGCCCTGACTGGTTTGGCTCAGCGGTTGGAGCGTTGGCCTGCGGTCCCGGGTTTGGTTCCCGCTAAGGGCATGTACCTCGGTTGTGGTTTGTCCCCGGCCCGGGTTGGTCACACCCCTCGATGTGTCCCTTTCACGTCGATGTTTCTCTCTCTCTCCCTCCCACTCTATCTGAACAACAACAACAAAAAAAAAAGGAAAAATGTCCTCGGGTGAGGATTATTAATAAAATAAAAGCTCCACCATCCATTGAATTACTACAAAATCTGTGGAAAACACATCAGAGGAAGCAGAGTCCTGTTTTCTGGAACACAGATGTGCTACTGGGCTATTGATTTGTCAGCAGGTCTCAGAATAGCGTAGGCCCTGCTTACTATTTTTTTTTTTTTCCAGATATGGCGTCTTTTATTTACTGAGTTTTGGCCCGCTTACTATTTTTTAAAAATCATTTCTATATTTAAATTTTCCATTTTATTTTTTTTATCCCATGAAACCCCTCTTACAAAGTAAAGTTTAAAAGTGATAACAGCCTTGGCCAGTTTGGCTCAGCGGTTAGAGCGTCGGCCTGTGGTCCGGAGAGACCCGGGTTCGGTTCCCGCTAAGGGCACGTACTTTGGTTGCAGTTTGTCCCCGGCCCTGGTTGGTCGTGTGGGTGGCAGGCACTCGATGTGTCCCTTCACGTCGATGTTTCTCTCTCTCTCTCTCTTCCTCTCTCTCCCTCCCACTCTATCTGTACAAAAAATGGAAAAATATCCTCAGGCGAGGATAAAAAAAAAAAAGTGATAACAGGTTAAGCAAATAGAGTATCAGTTGAAAAGAAATTCTCAGCAGCCCTTAGGACACTCCCAACCCCCCAGGAGTTTTTTTCCTGGTTAAAACAAGATTGTCCTGATCCTTTTTTTTTTTTTTTTTAATTTTTTGTTTCTTTATTGATTTTAGAGAGAGAGGAAGGGAGAGGGAGAGGGAGATAGAAACATCGATGAGAGAGAACATGATTGGCCACCTCCTGCATGCCCCCACTGGGGATCAGGCCCACACCCTGGGCATGTGCCCTGACCGGGAATGGAACCGATGACCTCTTGGTGCAGGGTCTACGCTCAACCCCTGAGCCATACCAGCTGGGCTGATTCTTTGTTTTTTAATGCTGCTTATCAGTGAATTGGTAACACCCCATGTCCTCTATCGTTGTGAAGAACTTTATAATTAAAGCTTTAAATTGCTCCTCAAACAACTCCACACACATGCTTTAAAAAGCTAAGGCAGCCCTGGCCGGTTTGGCTCAGCAGTTAGAGCGTTGGCCTGCAGACCAGAGAGTCCTGGGTTCGGTTCCCACTAAGGGCACGTACCACAGTTGCAGTTTGTCCCCAGCCCCACCCCCATTGGAGTGGTGTGCATGGCAACCAGTCAGTGTGTCTCTCACACTGATGTTTCTCTCTCTCTCTCTCTTCCCCCTCTCTCCCTCCCACTCTACCTGAAGATAAATGCAAAAATGTTCTTGGGCAAGGATTAAAAAAAAAAAAAAAGCCACGGAAGATCTCCTTGGTGCAGAGAAGGGCACCAGAGCAGCGTGCATTGCAGAGCCGGGCGCTTTGAAACTCCGTTGAGGCACTGGGGGTAGATCTCTCGTCCACGGTAGCATATTCCATTAGGTCTTTGGAGGTGGAGTCGTGACTCCCTCCATGATGTGTGACATGCCGGTGGTGCGTGGAGGGGGCATGAAAGCCGTAAATCTTTCTATCCCTGCCTGCTCCTGGTGGGATCAGCACAGAGTGGGAAATTGAAGCATTCCATCCTTGGCTCTAAGGGCCGATGCCACGCCTGCCTCACCTACAAGCCCAGCGAATCTCTGCGGCCACCCGTCAGTCCCACGTCATCACTCAGAACGTCAGGGCTCAGAGAGGGGTAGAACCCGAGCCGAAAAGCTCCAGGATCTTCCGTCGTGTCCCCTCGTCGTACCTTCCCCTGCCCAAGTGAGGGCGCTTCTCCCCTTCACTTCTTACTGGCCCCTGGCCATCGACCGGCGCCTTCCTGGGTTTTGCTGGCTCCCTGCTGTTGCCGTGCTCGGGGTCGGCGGTGCCCCCGCTCAGACGTGGCTGCTCAGCGCACGACCGGTTTCTGACGGCCGCGTACCGGGCTGTGCGTCCGCAGCATGTGTCTCTGCCTCAGCTGACACATCTTGGATTCAGGAATCCTATTCCCCAAATTTGGGTCCGAGTAAATGCGGCAACAGAGAAAGCAAGTGTCCGGACCGTGTGAATATCGTAGTGATTCCTGGTTCAAGATGTGGCTCCAGAGACACTGGGGCGATGTTCGCTGCCGCACGATGCCGCCGGTAGGTCACAGCAGCACGGTTATGTAGCAGCTCCAAGTGACACTTGACATGGGCTTTGATTTGGGTTTTTTTTTTTCTTTTCGTTTTTTGGCTATTAAGTCAAACCATTTTCCCTATTTGCTGTCTGTATGTAGGGGATCCTTTTCGGCCCTGGACTTTGGGCTTTTAATAAACCATCACTTCTGGTGACTTCTTCACCTGCCACGGTTCCCAGGGGTGTTTGTCGGGAGGGTTCAGTGAGGGACCGTACTCGAATGTGACCTGAGCAGGGTCGACCCATCGCAGGCACAGCGGGAGCTCTGTTTCTCAGAGATATGAAAATACCAGTAAATTACATCCGTCAGACCCCCTCCTTCTCAGCCTCGGGGACATGAGCAAGCTCGCTTATTTTGTTACTGAACATACGAAAAACAAATTTTCATTTCAAGCAATTTGATATAACGCCAGTGTTTTCAAATGAACTAAGGACTGCACACAGGAGAAATTAAACTCTGACGTTTAATTCTTTAACGTGGTTTTAATTGCTCTATAAAGTCTCTGTATACAAATTAACTATATTGTTTCCATTTCAAAAAAAGAATCTCCAGCCCCTACATACCTGTAAATAGAACACCAAAGTGGTTTTGCGGGTGTTCATCAATTCCATTCTTGTTAGTTTTGAAAACTTAAGGTTGACGATAACTGGTAAGACTTGGTTGAATGTTTTCGCCGAAGGCGTTTTTCTACCTGACGTGGACTTTTACAGTGTGTGTTGTTTCTCTCATTTGTCTCCAGGTTAAAAAGGCCTTCTTTGCCTTAGTAGCCAATGGCGTTCGAGCCGCGCCACTGTGGGAGAGTAAAAAGCAAAGTTTTGTAGGTAAGCGGTGTGGTCCCGGAGAAAAGTCCACGGTGGGAACCCTTACAAGCAGAAATGTAACAGGTGCTGGCGGAACTCACGCTTGTGAACTTGTTACCCAGTTAAAGAACATTCTTGCTTTTGTATCCGGGTAAGATAGGGTCGCTAGTCAGCTCTAAATCACGCATCTACTTTTATTGCGTTTCCTTTGATTTAGCACCTATTGTCTCTGGAGGATCTTACGTGCCCAATCCTGTGAGCCCAGAGACCAGGGTCTGTCTGTCAGCCCCGTCTGCTCACGCTTGCACACCTGTGCCTCCCCCCCCCCCCGCTTCCTGGTGGGAGAACACCTTTGGACAGGGCGAACGAAACTATGTAAAGTGATCAGTACCTTCGCCAAATTATTTGTTATACTGTTAAAGCAGAGTGTAACTTGTAACATCTGAACTCGGAAGTCATGGCAGGCAGCGGGTGCCGTCCCTGCTGGTGCAGTCATCGCTGTGCAGTGGTTAGTGTCCTCGGTTACAGTGACACCGTGTGGTCCCTGCGGCCAGCACGTAGTAGGTGCTTTACCATCATGACTGGTAAAACCTCTATTTCCAGAATGCGTCTCAGGAAACAACCCACGTGTCCCCAGAAGTATCATGCTTCCCATGCTCTGGAACACTTGATCGTATTTTAAAGTATTTTAAATTATTTACGTGTAGCTGCAAGTGTTTCAAGATGTTTTATAACAATCATTCCGTTTTCTCTCATTGACTTGCCAAATACTGTGATTAATTCCAGTTACTGTCAGGTTCAGTGTCAGCTAAATTTGTGTATCTTAGCTCCCGGTAGATAATTAACAGAGCAATAGCTTTAAATAATGTATTAAACTGTGCTTGATACGTATACTTTAGAAGCTGCTCTAGTAACTATTCCAGGTTTGCCTGTCATTTGAAATGTTTCTGCTTTGTTTTCATAGTTTCGTATTTAACATGTAATTCTTTGTTCCAGGAATGCTAACAATTACAGATTTCATAAATATACTACATAGATACTATAAATCACCCATGGTAAGTTTCAGAAATCCTGTGTCATTGATTGGAGCTGTGTTCTATGTATGTGAATAGGGGTTGTGTGTGTGTGTGTGTGTGTGTGTGTGTGTGTGCGCGCGCGCATTTTAAGATTTTTGTAGGGGGTTGGGGGTTTTTTGGTACAGGGGTGGTGCTGTTGGTTGATTCCTCCAAATATATATAATGTGCAGGGAACCTCTGTAATAATCAGTCACATGTCTGAAGCTTGAAGAAGGTTGTCTCAGGAAAAATAAAAGGCAGTAGCTTCTTTATTCGATTTTCAGGAATTCCCAGGTAGCGGAATTCTGTGTGCTCGCTTATTGCCTAGATGTTCTTAGGTTTCACTCAGTGTGTGACATTGACCAGCACCTTGTCACGCTGAGACTCTGCCTGGACCCATGGATGCAGGCAGCCCCTCACACTGCTCCTGTCTGAGTGGCTATTACCAGTGACAGCCTCACTCTTTGACATGAAAAGGCCACCGGACTGACCGACCTTCATGGCCTGTTGTTGGGAGTACAACATCATGTACTTAACCCCCGAAATTATATAACAAGAACTATATGTATTCTGGGGTTTTAAAGAAATAAAAATGAAAATTGAAGAAATTTCCATTTTGACGCGTTCCTGCCAGTTGGAAAAAGACTTGCTCGTGGTTAATTTTCATGCCCTTGACCGGGAATCGAACCTGTGACCCTTCAGTGTGCAGGCTGATGCTCGACCCACGGAACCACACTGGCCAGGGCTCTTTGTGTGTGTGTTCAAATTTTGGTGTATCAGAAATTTTCAAATGAAAATATGTTAGACTGGTTTGTTGTGTTTTAAATTGATAGAACATTTCTCTTCAAAAAATGTAGAACATTGTTTCTCATTTGTTTCCAGTGTTGAATTTTCTTGGTTGTTGCCGTCTGCTGAGTTACAGGACTCAGCAGTAGTGATAAAGCAATTTTTCTTATGTGGTATGAACATTTGTACATAAGAATTTCTTTCTTATTTTCAGGTACAGATTTATGAATTAGAGGAACATAAGATTGAAACGTGGAGGGGTAAGAACTGTTGGATGTTTAAAACCTTTTAATATCGGGAAAAAATGTTCTACTTAGGGTATAAAATATATTCTCATTTCACAGATCCTTCTCTCTCTGCTTAAGGATGTTACATTCATTAAAACATTTCTTTCGCCCTGGCCGGTTTGGCTCAGCGGTTAGAGCGTCGGCCTGTGGTCCTGAGAGACCCGGGTTCGGTTCCCGCTAAGGGCGCGTACCTCGGTTGCAGTTTGTCCCCAGCCCTGGTCGGTTGTGCGGATGGCAGCCACTCGATGTGTCCCTTTCACGTCGATGTTTCTCTCTCTGTCTCTGCTCCTCTCTCTCCCTCCCACTCTACCTGAACAAAAAATGGAAAAATGTCCTCGGGTGAGGAAAAAAAAAAAAAACAAACAAAAAAAAAACACATTTCTTTCCATCTCAGTTTTGATAGTATGCCACACGACATGCGTATTACCCACTCCGTTTAATAGAAATGTACAGCGAGCAGGTGGCTGGTGTTTGAGATGTGAAGCTAATCAGTAAGCTCACCAGTGTCCACGTCCCTGCCCCCTTGGGGTCACCATATCTCTGTGAAGTATTACCCCCAAGCAAAAATGTGCCCTTGTATAGAAAATGCACCAAAGAAATGCCTAAGATTCACAAAAACAAAGGCCTGTACTTATTTAAAGTTAATAATTATTTCTTTACCAGTTATGGAGAAACAGAACAAACAACCTTGAACTCGATGACTGCGATCAGATAACACGAACATAATGTCAGGATTGCTTCCTTCTGTTCGTAACATTAAAGTTCACCCTTTATAGTCACAGTGCCCTTGCTGACATAGAGCCAGTCTTTTAAAATTCACATTACACGACTGTGAAACTGTTCTGTGTCCATGAGCCCTTCGTGCTGGGTCAGGGGAGCAGGGCCGAGGACTGGGAGCAGGAATCCCTGAGGAGGGAGCCTTTAGGGGTTATGGGAAAAACCCAGAGAGAAACAGAGGGACCAGCTGAAGGAAACTTTGAATTTAAAAACGAGGTTTAGCTTTGTACTACACATACTCTGCTTGGTATGATAGGCAGCCTTTGTGACTCGCTGTGAAATCCAAACATCGTTAGAATTCCCTGAAGGGCTGGGGGACTGTTAATCCCATGTGACCTAGACTTTTCATGGAGTGACAGATTTGATTTACGATAGTTCTGTCAACTCAACCTGAACAGAGTCGGCCTGGGAGCATACCTCAGCACGGCCTGTCATGGCGTGAATGGACTGTACCGAGCACCAAGACCGTTTTATCAGATCCTACTTACAAGGGGTGTTAGGCCAGGTTTGCCTTTTGGCACTCCATGGTTATTCGGTGGTCGTGATAATAATGCCAAGACATCCTCGCGTGACTTCTGTGTAGAAACCTCAGTAAATTAGTGAGTTGATCTTTACAAAGATAATTTCTGCAGACCAGCAGGATCCCCCAGGGTGCCGTGGATTTTGAGCGTGAGTTTGGTCAAATAAAGCGTAAGGACATTTAAAGGACAAAGTTTGTTAGAACTTTTTTTTTTCTCTTTTGACTTATGGAAATCCGTTCGAAAGGATTTCATGAACGCGGCCTCTCCGGAGGGTGGTAGTATCGTTGTGGCACCTAGCGCCCTCTGCTGGCACTTCTTTTATCGTATTTCTTGACTTCTTTTTACGACGTCTCTTATAAATACTATTTTTCAATATTTCATTGTTCCATAAAGGCAGCACCCTGGAAGCAGCTGGGAATCATTTAGGTTAGCCATATAGAATGAACATATAGCCATATAGAAAGAATTGTGGTCGTTCTCAGTAAATTAAATTCTATTTGGGTTTTTACCCTAATTCTTTTTTTATTTTTTTCCCTCACCCGAGGATATTTTTCCATTTTTTGTACAGCTAGAGTGGGAGGGAGAGAGAGAAAGGGAGAGAGAAACATCGATGTGAAGGGACACATCGAGTGGCTGCCACCCGCACGACCAACCAGGGCCGGGGACAAACTGCAACCGAAGTACGTGCCCTTAGCGGGAACCGAACCCGGGTCTCTCCGGACCGCAGGCCGACACTCTAACCGCTGAGCCAAACTGGCCAGGGCTTTACCCTAATTCTTATCTATACATTGAAGGGTATTGTAATTTATGTAATCATTGCGAACGCAGATGTGTTACTAATGACGTCTTTTCTTTCTATAAATACAGAGCTTTATTTACAAGAAACATTTAAGCCTTTAGTGAACATATCTCCCGACGCAAGGTAAGTAACATGCGCCGTTCTCCCTCGAACGCGTTCATTCAGGTTCATCTGTTTTGTTACCATGATTGATTGGTTGATAGATTTTTTTTTTTTTTAAATAGGGAAGGGTCAGCCTCCTTAACTCCAAATATTAAATTCAGTAAATCTAGAGACGGTAGAAATCACAGTCGTTGTTGGTGCGAAGGACAGATAATGGGCTAGGAAGACGGTCAGACTAAGCTGTCTTAAAATCCAGATCACCTGGACCAGAAATCATCTATGAAGCTCATTAAAACTGCAGACCCCCCCCCCAAAAAAAAAGCAGGTTCCTGGGCTCTCCCCCACCTGTGAAATCGGTCTGTGTAGAGTTGTGCCCAGGACCATGTATTAAAACAACTTCCCAGTGGTCCTGACAAACTCTGAAGCTGAAAAATCCGTCTCTATTAGCCATCGGTCCAGGGGTGGTCCAGCAGGGGCTGCCCCCTCGGAAGTCTTCCAGCCCATACATTTTGATCCCAGCCTTCTGGGGCGGCTCTGGTACATTCCCATGTTGGTATGTAAGCACTCTTAACTCTAGAACCCCAGCGAGAAAAAGTAGAATATGGATTTTTTTTTTTTTAGTATTTTTTCCCCAAGTTCCAACAAACAAATGCACCCACCACGCCTCCTGGTTGGCAGTCACAAGGGAGGCCCGAGCTGCCCAGAACGGCTGGCCCGGCAAGGAGGCGGCCAGCAGTCTGTGCAGCCACCGGCCAGTCCAGGGGCTCCGCGACTGCTGAGGTTCCTAGAGGTTGGCGTCTGTCATTTCTCAAATGAAAACATTAAATGTGCTTCTGAAAAACCACGAATGATTCGTAGCTCACCCTTGTGTTTAAGATTCATTATTAACACAGATTGTGAAGGGGGGAAAAAAAAATCATTTTACTGAGATCTTCAATGTAACAATTTTCCGAAACACTGTTTTAAGTCAGTCATCCTCTTAGGGTTGTACTATAAAGACACTGAAAATGCTGTTGATGGCAGGGGTGGTCCGCAGTTTTCTAATTTGTCCTTAAAGCCTCCTAACAACTTTAATGGCTCTTCCCACAGCCTCTTCGATGCTGTAAACTCGTTGATCAAAAATAAAATCCACAGATTGCCAGTTATTGACCCTATCAGTGGGAATGCACTTTATATCCTTACCCACAAAAGAATCCTCAAGTTCCTCCAGCTTTTTGTAAGTAGTTTTCAGTGTTTCTAAAGACGTAGTTGCATCTACTTTAACTGCTTTACTTCACGTAAACTGGGTTCTGGTCCCCTCAGGAGGAGAAATCCTTAGTCTTGCGGCCCCCTTTCTAAATTTCAGTTTCTCAACTTACGATACTGTTTGAATTGCACGTTCGCAGAAGTTGATTCCAGTCAAACAGTGATCACCTCCCTGGGCAAGAATCAAAAGATTAAAGTCACTTGGAATCCTCTATTTAAATTAGAATATTTTATCACCTAAAGTATTCTAATTTGCACTCAGTCTAATTAAGGAACTGCTACAAGATAAATCAAGCCAGTATTTATAGCTAATTGCCTATGATGCTTTATTGGGATCATGGTTTTAGAAACATATATTCAAAAAGTACTGTCCCCAGAATTAGCTCAATATATTAACGGCAAACATGAGGGGCAAACCCAAAGCAAGTAAAATTTTGGCGCGAAAATACCATGTTGGTCCAAATTAGGGCTACGGCATCCGTAGGTTTTCTCAGCTGCATTCGGAAGAGAGGGTTTCTAATCACGCAAAACAGACCATCTTTGGTCGGCAGGTTTCAGAGGCTCAGACAGACCAGGGTGTTCACAGGAGGGCTTTAAATTTGTCCTTTGAGTGATAGGCACTGAATTGGACCTTTTTTCTTTTAAGGACATGCACTGAATTTGAGGCGACAGGTAATTGGTCAGCTAGAACAGGTAGGCAGCCTCATTCGCGGTTCAGAAGAGATCCTTTCAAGAGTCTTTTGTTGTTGTTTTTTAAGAAGATACTAGGCATTAAAAATGCACACCAGACGAGCTCGGACATTGCCTTCCCCACGGTGTCAGAACGGCCCCACCCTGCCACGGAGCACGGAGGGCTTGGTGACAGCGAGAAGCTGCTGCCCGTCAAACCAGTCCCATATTTTAATAGTTTACGTGGAAAAGTGACACTCTTCACGTTTACATGAATGCTAAGGAAGAAGGTAGGAAGGAGAGCCGTTCACAAAAAGGCGTGGGGCTTGGGAGAAAGCCGGTCCAGGGAAGACTGGGGAACCTCTGGCTGTCGTGGGCCAGGCCTGATGTGGCGTGGGCTGAGGACACGGTCACCTTCGCACTGAGCTTTCCCGGGACCGGGACGCGGCAGGCGTGGAAGACCCACGCGCCAGGCTCAAGCCCGTGCATTTTAAGTAATACCGATCTTGAGAACTGAGTGCTGCTCAGCATCTTCGAGAAGTCAGGCACTGTCCTGACTTATTTCGGAAGCATAAATCTAACCCTCACCGCACCCTCTCAGGTGGGTGTTTTTATTAATCCCGGTCTGTCGGTGATGAAAGCGAGCGAGGTTGAGTGACTGCCACGGAGGCCGACCGGCGGCCTTTCTCAGCGCCCACCCACCCCGGCTCCCCTGGTCGCCCACGTGCGAAGTGGTCGGGTCCCAGCGCCTTCCCCGGGCTTCGCTGCCACGGGAAGGGAGCAGCCGTCTGCACTGGCCTCCGGGTTCGCTCCCGTGGAAAGGAGAGCTTGCCCTGGCCGGCACTGCCTTATATTTGGACCAATATGGTAGTTAGAATCATGCTAGTAGAACAGCTGAACAGCTAGAGGTTTTCAGATGGAAACAGAGTCAAAGGAGTTTCAGGACCTGGTTTTACTGACTGTGCGCCGGTTTTCTGAGGGAGAGGAGCGCTCCCCTTGGACGTGTTTGGCAGGTAGCTCGAGGGACTGTGTGGACTGGGCCCTCCTGCGGCTCGGTGGGCTAGGTGACCTAATAGGCCTTTCTTTTTTTTTCTCTAAATTTCTAGGAGTCTCATGATTTGATGAACTCTTTGACTTGAACGTTTTGTTTCTGCTAATTGTTCATCTTTTCCTGATAATTATAAGGTACACCAGGCGGATGGAATCAACTGTACCCTTTCTAAAAGGTGGATCTTTGAAACCGTAGACCCTGTTTTGTTTTAGTCCAACGTGATCCCAGACTTCTCTCTCCTGGCTTCTCCCTCCTCCTTTATCACAGCCGTGAAAAAAAAACAAAGAAAGAAACGTGAACTTTTAAAGGTTCTTGCAATTCTGTGCAGTTGGCTTGGCCTTTATTCCTAGGAGACAAAAATTGGAGTCCTCCAGGGGACCGTTCAGGATGTAAATAGAGGTGGGACAGGGTGAGGACGAGCTCAGCTCCGACAGCCACCGTCAGACACCTGGAAATGTGTGGGGCTTTTGTAAGCGGTACCTAGTGGGGACGGCAGGGCCAGGGGGTTCCTGGTGGCTTCTGAGTCTTCATTCCCAAGTAGACCTGTTTTCCCTTCTGTCCTCTTCTTCAGTGGGTGAGTAGGGGGATGTGTACAGTAGGGCTTTGCGATATCTTCCCACGCAGTTAATTCGCTAGACCTGTCAGCTGGTCCGAACAACACTTCTTCCGTGTAACACTTTCCTGTTAATTCAGACGTGCAGGTATATGGCCAGGAAAGACTGACTTGAATCTGTCGTGCTAGTTTTTCATGCATGTAGACCTGTGAAGGTTCCGAGGGCCCGTTCGGGCCCTAGAGCCTTTGCCCTTACCCTCCCGTTCAGATGTCCGACATGCCAAAGCCCGCCTTCATGAAGCAGAACCTGGACGCGTTGGGCATCGGGACCTACCACAACATCGCCTTCATCCACCCGGACACGCCCATCATCAAAGCCCTGAACGTCTTTGTGGAGAGACGGGTGTCAGCCTTACCTGTGGTGGACGAGTCAGGTGTGTGTGTGTGGCCATAAAACAAAAACGCTGTTTGTCTGTGACGTTACTGTCAAAGGGCCTCGCACAGGAGATGCGTGGGGGAAATGAACCTTTGGGCCTGGTGAATACATTCAGCATTAAGGATATTAAACTGGCTTATTTTCATATTTTCCAGTAAGACAGAATTTCAGGTTCATTTAAAAACAGATGTGTTGCCCTGGCCGGTTTGGCTCAGCAGTTAGAGCGTCGGCCTGTGGTGAGAGAGACCCGGGTTCGGTTCCCACTAAGGGCACGTACCTCGGTTGCAGTTTGTCCCCGGCCCTGGTTGGGTCGTGCGGGTGGCAGCTACTCGATGTGTCCCTTTCACGTCGATGTTTCTCTCTCTCTCCTCCTCCCGCTCTATCTGAACAAAAAATGGAAAAATGTCCTCGGGTGAGGATAAAAATAAATAAATAAAAACAGACATGTTGATTTTATTTAGCAATATGTAATTCTTTGGTTCTTGTTAATCCTTCCTTGAGGATATTTTTCCATTGATTTTTAGACAGAGTGGGAGGGGGGTGGAGGAGAGAGAACCATCGATGTGAGAGAGACACATTGATCCAGGTGTGTGCCCTTGACCAGGAAGTGAACCCTCAACCCTTCGGTCCACAGGCCGACGCTCTAACCACTGAGTAAACCTGCCAGGGCAGCAATATGTAATTCTTCATTGTGGCCTAATTGAGACTGATTTTAAATGTCTTTTTTTGTTGCTGTTGTTCCTAAGACACTTTTCTAACATGTATTTTCATTTTTAGGGAAAGTCGTAGATATTTATTCCAAGTTTGATGTAATTGTAAGTATTTTTAATTTTGTCAAACCTGTCATCTAAAATGCATTTAAAACGTATTTAAAAATCTCTTTCTGTGGTTTTCCGTAATTGAATGATTTCTAGCTTTTTGGAGTAATGCAGATCTTATCAGAGAATTCCATAGACTCCCTGCAGTAATTTTACTTTTAATATTCATTGGCTTAGCAAGGCATTATATATCAGTAGCATTTTATAATTCTCCGTTGGTTCGGGTGCAGTTTATCCGTCATCTCCACAGCACGTGTGTGTATCTTAAACGGCAGTCATTCTGTGTGGGGACATCCTTTATCCCACCAACAGGCACATGCGTTAGCGCACAGGAGCCTGTGGCTGTGTGCACCCCCTTGATGTCCAGCCCCGTTGGCCCTCCTGGGCTATATCCGCTAGGTTGACTCTGGTGCTACACCTCTCCACGCGATGCTTTCCTTCTCATTCGTTTTCAATGCCCTTCCTCAGAGCCTCCCATTGTTCTGAGAAAGGAAACTGTAACTTTGGTGGCCCCGGATGTCCACACTGTCTGGGGCCCCTTCTGTTGACCCCAGCATTAAATACTCTTTCTGCTGAACATACTAGACACCAGAAAATATGCCCGTTGGAATTTGGTTGAGTGGGACCTGCTAAGATTAATGAGAACCCTGAGGGGCTCCTAGGGAGAATCCATCCATGCTTCTCACCCTGTGTTAATCCACCTCTCAGAAGACTGTTTATTGGGTCGGGAGCCTTGTGGAGTGAGGATAGGGGGAGGGTCATCAGGAGGGTGTGCCTTCTTAACAATGACCAAGGTTGCTGAGCCGTGAGGGTCCCCCTGTGAGCTTGAGCTATCGCTGGGAGGAGGACGGGGCTGATGGCACGTCCTACGCGGGGATGCTGGTACTGAACTCACGTGGATATGTTTCAGTCCGGTGGCTTTAAAGCGACTGATTCTGGCCATTTGTGTGAACTTACACGAAAGCAGGTAATCCGCTGTGCTCCTTTGTTACAGAACCTTGCTGCTGAAAAGACATACAATAACCTAGATATCACGGTGACCCAGGCCCTGCAGCACCGGTCCCAGTATTTCGAGGGTGTCGTCAAGTGCAGTAAGCTGGAGGTGCTGGAGACTATCGTGGACAGGATAGTGAGAGCAGAGGTGAGATGGGGTCCCCCACACTCTTCCCCCCACCCCCCCAGCCTACAGGGTAGTGAGAGCAGAGGTGAGATGGGGTCCCCCACACACACCCCAGTCCCCCCCAGCCTACAGGGTAGTGAGAGTGGAGGTGAGATGGGGTCTCCCGCTCCTCCCCCGCTCCCCCCTCTGAGCCTACAGGATAGTGAGAGTGGAGGTGAGATGGGGTCTCCCGCTCCTCCCCTGCTCCCCCCTCTGAGCCTACAGGATAGTGAGAGTGGAGGTGAGATGGGGTCCCCCACACTCCCCCCCAGCCTACAGGATAGTGAGAGCGGAGGTGAGATGGGGTCCCCCACACTCCCCCCCAGCCTACAGGATAGTGAGAGTGGAGGTGAGATGTGGTCCCCCACACTCCCCCCTTCTCCCCCCCCAGCCTACAGGATAGTGAGAGCGGAGGTGAGATGGGGTCCCCCACACCCCCCCGCTCTCCCCCCCGGCCTATAGGATAGAGCGGAGGTGAGATGGGGTCCCCCCCCCGCACACCCCCAGCCTACAGGATAGTGAGAGCAGAAGTGAGATGGGGTCCCCCAATCCCCACCCCAGCCTACAGGCACTCACCAGGGAATAGTGCCTCAAGCTTTAGGAATCGCAGGACTGGCCCATGGGGGCGCCTTCAAGTTCAGTTGGGTGATGCGGTTCCCCTGTCCCAGAACCTAATGTGCTACCCGGTTGGTCATCTGTAAATGTTCATTGAATGGAATTTATAAGTTCTGATATCATAGTTGAATCAAGTAAACTGGTAAGGTATTCCCATGGTTTAAAAAAGACATATCGTCCTGGCCAGTGTGGTTCAGTTGGTTACATCGTCCCGTTGCACCAAAAGGTTGCTGGTTCAATTCTCAATCAGGGCACATGTCCGTGTTTCCAGCTTGATCTCTGGTAGGGGTCATGCAGGAGGCAGCCGATCGATGATGCGCTCTCACATCAGTGTTTCTCTCTCTCTCTCCCTCTCCCTTCCTCTCTCCTCTAAAAATCAATAAAAATCAAAAAATATTTTAAAAAAGTGGCCAGGCAAATCAGCATTGCATTTGACCATTAGAGCCAAAGACTTTTTCGTGGTTCTGTACACTGTAACTTCCTCTCATTTGTGGACTGGACTCGTTATAGAGTACATGGGAGGGGGTTCTTTTTCTGTTTTCATCTTTAAATGTTTTATTTAAACTTGCTCACGTGGCCTGCTTTTCTCGTGTGCAGGTCCATCGGCTGGTGGTAGTGAATGAAGCAGATAGTATCGTGGGTATTATTTCCCTGTCGGATATTCTGCAGGCCCTGATCCTCACCCCACCAGGTACAGATGCCCATTTCTGACCTTCACCTACTGGAGCTGGGTGGTTTTCTGTGCGTTCCTCTGTCCACTGCTTTCACTTTGTGGTTGTGAAGGTGAGAGAGAGAGAGAGACAGAGAGAGAGAGAGGCTTATAGAAGCACCCTGACTTAGCCTCTCTGCCCAGCAGTGCCTGAATAATCGCGGGGTCACTGCCAAGTCCATCGTAACCTTTTCCGTGACGAAGCCGAGACCTCCTCCGTTCCGCGTTCTGTTCAGGACGACTACCTGGGAACCGGGAAGGGGGGTGGATTCTTCGGGTTCTAACTATTGACACCTGCGTCTACACTTCAAAAAGAAAGTAACTTTCCAGTGTGTTGAATATATAAAAAACAAAAGACCCCGGCACAAACTTTTCCCCACGAATAGTGTTTGGAAATTACATTACCACCAGTCAGCAGTGATGACTAAACTCATTTTTGCCGAGTCACTCTGAGCCAGCCCTCAGGTCGCAGCCAGGGAGCCTGCAGCGGGGGAGGGGCAACCACCAGCCCCCACCCTCTTCTCTTTTCCCCTCCCCCCCACCCCCACTAAGTACAAACAACCCAGCCTTGGGCCACACAGACCAAGTCCAAAATCGAGGCCAAGACAGGAGACTAAGTGATGTGCACTTTGAACTCTTGGAAGTTAAACCTTAAAGTGTGTATACTACGGCATTGATTTTTTTTTTCTTTTGTTCAGAAATCAGACCAGCTGAGACTAGTTTGTACAATCGACCTATCACCTAAAGACACCCACCCTTCAGGAATCCCTGGGCTGTGCGAGGGCATGGGGGTCCCAAGGGACCCCCGAGCTGTGATCCCAGTAGAGCAGGGACTCCAGGTGTACTTTTAAAGCATCCACTGTTATGTGAATAAAAGGTACCGGAGTTATTCTTTTCACCGGATAGTGGACACGATTTCCCTTGAAGGATATTCATCTAACATCACACCATTTTTTTTTCCTCTTTCGTTGTCAAACTTAACTGTCCAAAGGAACCCAAGTATCTACCCATACAACCAATGAGTAAGCAGTCTGGGAACAGTGGCCACAATTTTTTAGCCGCTTATTTTTTAGAGACGTGTCTCTCTTTCAAAAGTCTAGCGTCAGAGGAGAACGGCGGAGAGAGCTGTGATGAGGAAAATGGCAGCTCTCCCACCAACCCGTTCTGGAAAGTTCCCGGCCAGGTCAGTTCTCCTTAAACATGCTTCGTGCTTTTTTTTTTAATCCTCACGCGAGGACATTTTTGCATTTATCTTCAGATAGAGTGGGAGGGAGGGAGAGAAAGAAACGTGGATGTGAGAGAGACACATCAACTGGCTGCCACCCACACGACCCCAACCAGGGCTGGGGACAAACTGCAACGGAGGTCCATGCCCTTAGTGGGACCCAAACCCGGGACTCTGGTCCAGGGCCGACACTCCAACCACTGAGCAACACCGGCCAGGGCTGCTCCGTGCCTTTTTAAGAACACTTTTATCTGTACAGTGGAAGTACTTTGCATCTTCACTAAAACGTCAGTACGCATTTTTTGTGAAATTCTTTAGCAGTGGAACCCTTTTCTCTTGCGAATTCAATCTTGCATATTTGGAATTACAGTACGTGACACAGCCCAGCCATGTGGCTCGGAGATTGATCCACGCACCCAGAGGTCGCCGGTTCGACTCCCAGTCAGGGCACATGCCCAGGTTGTGGGCCTGATCCCCAGTGGGGGGCGTGCAGGAGGCAGCCAGTCAGTGTTCTCTCTCATCAATATTGCTCTCTCTCTCTCTCAAAATCAATAAAGAAAAAAAAATCCAAAAGATAAAAATACAATACGTGATACGGATTAAAAGTGTGCTGCAGTCATGGTGGGAGGTGAGGAACCCGGATCCCGCCTGCTCCGTCTCCTGCGTGTCCCCTGCGTGTCCCCTGCAGACACGCAGGTACGCAGAAGCCTCCAACGTGGAGGAGCACGCTCAGCTGCCACGGATTCCCATGTCCCTTTGAAACTCGTTGTCCCTCTACCAACAGGTGCCAAACAAAAGGAGCCGGAAACCGAATGACCGCCGTGAGCGGAGCCCTTGTCGGACTTGAACTGCGACTCTGGGTCACGCTTTGCCTCATGAACACTGCCTGCCGTAGAAGAGAGGAAAACGGCCACGAATGTACATCCGGGCTTAGTGATGGGTATTTGTTCCAGGGCTGTTGAAACTGAGCATAGAAAAGAAAGGAAGACCGTATGCGTGTGAAGCGTCGGCTTGCATTCGAAGGCTGTTTTCAGACCTCTGTCTGAAAGATTTCCAATGCTGTATGTCATTAAAGTGCACTGTGTCCCGAAGTGTTTATTATTTTTCATTTCAAAGAAGTCACTGGTATGCAACGGGACGTGACGTAAGGCGGGGGTGTGGCTTGCTCAGACCTAGTGCCTCATGTCAGAACACAGCTCGCCGGCAGCCCGAGTGGACGCGTGTGAACCACCACCACCGAGTGTGAGTCTTGAACCTTTACCAGGTCGGTTTGTGCACGTTCGCTGTGTCGTATCAAACGTCCAGGGCAGGCTTCTGCGTGTGCTGAACTAGAGCGCAAACGACTGCAGCAGCTTTATTTATTTATTCCTCTCGTGCAGTTTTTTGACACCTCTTTGGGTGAGTCAGCGTCACTGTGCCCGTTGATAAACCATCGGCTGTTATTTTTAAATGGCACATTTCTCATCAAGTTTGGGTGTGGGGAGGATGGGACTCCAGGCGGCCGCTGGCGTTAGAGGCGGAAAGTTCCGACGGCCCGGAGGGGAACCGCGCTGGGCTGCAGGCAGGCGTTGTGAGCAGGACGCAAAGTGCGGGCGGCTGTTTCTCGGTATTGAAATGTAAAGCCACGCCCTCGGGGTGACTGCTCCTGCGATCGCTCCTTGTACATCTTACTGTGGCGTGTACAAGACTGTCCTACGATGGAAGAGAGACAGCGTGTCCTCATGGAAGCGCTTTGAAAATGTCAGCACTGTATATATGAGTATAGTTTGGTTTTTTGTTTTGGGGTTTGTTGTTTTTTTTTTCAGATTGAAAAATTAAAATAAATCTTAACTATCTACCATTTTGTTAAAGAAGTTCTTTGAAATCCCTTGTATCTCAGCCTATATTGAAATTCTATATGCAGTAGTACCCCACTTTGATGTTTCTCCCCCACATAAAGGAGAACGTGAATTCTCATATCCTTTTCCCCTCATCCGGAAAACACATAAACGATTCGGTTCCTCAACTTTACATCTCTCCATTAGTAAATAGAACATATTTAATTCTAAACTGCCATGCGGATTTTGTTTTGCTTAGCTGTCGATTTTTCCATCCCTTGTCGGCCAAATGGGTAATGGCATAGACACAGAAAGCCTATGGACTCCGTAAAAACACAACTAACAAGTGAGTTTAGCAAAGTTAAAGGATAAGAGTTCAATCATCAAACATCAATTGTATTTTGCCCTGGCCGGTTTGGCTCAGCAGTTAGAGCATCGGCCCACAAACCAGAGAGACCTGGGTTCAGTCCCCACTAAGGGCATATACCTGGGTTGCAGTTTGTCCCCAGCCCTGGTTGGGATCATGTGGGTGGCAGCCAGTTAATGTTTCTCTCTCTCTCTCTTCCTCTCTCCCTCCCTCCTGCACTATCTGAAGATAAATGCAAAAATGTCCTCGGGTAAGGATAAAAAATAAATTGTATTTCAAGTGGATTAAGCCAATCAGAGAAAGACGAATATCACATGATCTCACTTATTTGTGGAATATAATGAACAAAATAACCTGATGAACAAAATAGACTCAGAGACATAGAAAGAAGTAGGGTTCAGACTGACAAACCTCAGAGGAGGGGTGGGGGAGATAAACCAAAGAACTTATTATGCATATTTGCATAACCAATGGACATAAACAACAATGCTGGGAGGGAGGGGGGTTGGCAGGAGGGTGTCACTGGGGGAAAAAGAAATAACAAAAAATATATATATACTCACCTATAATATTGTGAACATTATCATATTCAGTTTTCGGAGTCAGTCTATTCAGCATCAAAGACAATTATTTTTACAGAAGAGACTAAGTATTTTAAACCTTGTCGGTGTAAAAAAAAATCACGGCGTGACTAGCAGAAAATAGGAGATGCATAGGAGAGAAACTGGGTGAACGGGAGTAAATGGGGTAGAAATGTTTTCATGTTACATAACTGGTAGCCAAAGGATACTGCTGAAAATGAGTGGAGTGGTTAAAATGACAAAATAAAGTTATAATGTTATTTTTTAAATCCTAAAAAAAAAAAGAATTGTATTTCTGTATACTAAGAAGCAATCAAAAATTAAAAAATTTTAAGATTCCCATTTAAAATAGCGCCAAATATAAAACATTTAAGAGTAAATCTGATAAAAGATATAGTTTATACACAAAAAAATACTAATATTGCTGAGAGAAATTAATGGAAGACCTAAATAAGTAGAGTAATACACTCTGTTCACCCGGGTCAGAAGACTCAATATTGCTAAAATATAAATCCTCCTAAAATTGATTCACAGATTCAAAACAGTACCAAATCCCAGCAGGCTTTCTTGTAAAAAGTGACAAGCAGATTCTAAAATTCAAATGGAAATGCAAAGGACTAAGATTAGCCACAACTCTGAGAAAGAATAAGGTTGGAAGGATAACGCGATCTGATTTCAAGATTTATTATATAAAGCTACAGTCATCGGTTCAGTATTCTGTTGATGTAAAAACAGACCCATACTTCAACGGGCCAGATGAGTGTCCAGATAAGACCAACCCATATATGGCTGACTGCATTTTGGCAGACATTCAAAGGCCATTCAGTGAAGGAAGACGCTTTTCAACAAATGGTGCTGGAATAATTTGATGCAGCATGTCCTCAAATAACATCATTTCATTATAATGATGATGAGAAAAAGAATTGATTCCTGTCTGTGGGGAGTTGGCATGTTCTCATATCTGCATGGTTTTTCCCCCATCCCAAAGGTATGCGGTGAACTTGCGTGTCTCAAGTGACCCAGTCTGAGTGAGTGTGGGTGTGTGTATGTGACTGAGCCACGACAACCGAGTCACTCACTGAGTCACCAAAAATTGGGTGACTACTATAGTTAATCTTGTTTTTATTCGTGATTCTTGAATGTACATATAGCACACATTTGTTTTTTTTTGTTTTTTGTTTTTTGTTTTTTTTTTTAATCCTCACCCGAGGATATTTTTCCATTTTTTGTACAGACAGAGTGGGAGGGAGAGAGAGAGAGAGAAACATCGACGTGAAGGGACACATCGAGTGGCTGCCACCCGCACGACCAACCAGGGCCCGGGACAAACTGCAACCGAAGTACATGCCCTTAGCGGGAACCGAACCTGGGTCTCTCCGGACCGCAGGCCGACGCTCTAACCGCTGAGCCAAACCAGCCAGGGCAGCACACATTTGTTTTGATATTTAATATTAGAAGTGTTTTGGGCCTTTATGTCTTTGTTTTGGTGATGTTTTTGTGACCAGAAATATGCTGTAGAAACTTAACTCTCGTTCATATCAAGTAGCCTGTAGGTAAACTGAGTTCCTTGTACAGTCGCAATTTTTAAGAACCTATCGACATTCAGTGAGGACTTACTGTATTCATATGCAGGAAAAGAACTTTGATTCGTACCTTTCACCACATACAAATAGTAACTCAAAGTGAGCTCAACAGTTTTCAGAAGACACATAATCCAGAATTTTTATAACATACCCATAATGTCCACTGAACAATAAAAATTACTAGATGTGAAAAGAAAAATATATGACCTACAATCAAGAGAAAAGTCATTCAACAAAAGCTGATCTCTGAACGATCCAGATGTTACAGTTAATACACAAACGTTTAAAAATAAATATAAGAATGTTAAAGAACCAGAAAACAGGTTTGTTGGGTAGAGATGTGAGAATTTCAGGAGAGAGAGGAAAACTGTAAAAGAACCAAACAGAAATCCTAAAATTGAAAAATATGTTATCCAAAAATGCTTAAATCATTAAGAAGGGGGAAACAGAAAAGAATAAATACAGGCTTTTGGGTAGAAAGCCATCAGACTGTCTAATACACGTGAAATTGGGAGTCCCAAAATGAGTGAAGAGGAAAAATGTTTATGTATTGGTTGGGAAATGTTCCAATTGGATCAAAAACAGTAACTCACAAATCGAAGAAGCTCAGTAAACCTTAAAAAGCATAAATTCAGCCCTGGCCGGTTTGGCTCAGTGGTTAGAGCGTCAGCCCGCGGTCCAGAGAGACCTGGGTTCGGTTCCCACTAAGGGCACGTACCTCGGTTGCAGTTTGTTCCCAGCCCCAGTTGGGGTTGTGCAGGAGGCAGCCACTTGATGTGTCCCTTTCACGTCGATGTTTCTCTCTCTCTTCTTCTCTCTCCTTCCCACTCTATCTGAACAAAAAATGGAAAAATGTCCTCGAGTGAGGATTTTTAAAAAAGCATAAATTCAAAGAAAACAACGCACAAACACATAAGCAAACTCTGAACACCAAATACAGAAAAATATTCGAGCAGGCAGGCAGGGAATATATTACATAAAGGAAATAGTAATAGGACAGCTGCATTCTCAGAAATAAACGGAGGCCCGAAGAAAACGGAGCATCTTTCAGGACTAAAACACATGCCCCTGGCTGCCCAAACTTCTGTATCTGACAATAAGGCCTCTTCTCACACACGAGAAATGAAAAGGTAGCATGAAGGAGACCTTTCTGGTGATAGAACAGTTCTGTGTCCTGATTGTGGTTTTGGTTACACAAATCTACACATGTAATAAAACTGAAGAGTTACACACATACACGCATGTAAAACTGAAGAGTTACACACACGCATGCATGTAAAACTGGTGATGTCTGAACAAGTTCTGTGGGTTGTAACAATGTCCGTTTTTTGGGTTAGATATTGTCCTATGTTTAGGGAAGATGTTACTACCATCCAGGGAATAGCACACTAACTCTCTGTACTATGTTTGGGAGTACCTGCTAATCTATAATTAATTCTGAATAAAAAGTGGAGACATAGAGACACTTTTCAGAGCAATTGTGCATTTGTTGCCAGGAGACTGCAAGAAATGCTAAAGGAAGTTCTTCAGGGAGAGGGACATTACTGGGGCCTAGCTGTGCAGTGGAGAGGCCTGGCAAACACTCCCTGGGCTAGGTGATCCAAGTCAATACCAACGATGACAGGTCACCCTGGGAATATGTTCCCTCCATAGGATGTGATGAGAATGGCGCTTGACTTCTGGGGTCTTCCCCCCAGACACCCCATACTCCCACCCTAATCCTGAGAACTTCAGACGGATTCCGGTTGAGGAACGATCTACAAAACACTGACCAGCACTCCTCAAAACTGTCAAAGTCACCCCAAAACAAGAAAACTCAGAAACGATCCCATCCTCGAGGAGCCCAACTAAGGCTGATGGGCAAACGTAATGTGGTATTTCAGAGGGGACCCTGCAGCAGAAAGAGGACAGTAAGGGAAACTGAGGAAATCTGAATAATGCATGCACTTTGGTTAACAACAATGTATCAGTATTGGTTAATGAATTCTAACAAGTGGACCACACGAGTGTGAGATGTTAGCAATGGGGAGACTGGGTGCAGGATGGAGGGGCATGGGCTAGCCTTCACCATTTTCCTGAATGTCTAAAACAGTTCTAAAATAACAAAGTTTATTTCAAAAAATAAAAGCCCTGCCTTGGCCGGTTTGGCTCAGTGATTAGAGTGTCGGCCTGTGGACCAAAGAGTTGCGGGTTCGATTCCGGTCAAGGGCATGTACCTTGGTTACAGTTTGGTCCCCAGCCCTGGTCGGGGTTTTTTGGGCAGCAATCAATTGATGTGTCTCTCTCACATTGATGTTTCTCTCTTTACAAAAAAAATCAAAGGAAAAAAAAGAATCATCTTTCAGAGAAAATATTGAAATACTTATGAGTGAAATGGAATGATGGCTAGATTTGCTTCAAAGTAACCCATGGGTGGGGGTGGGGGGAACA